GTAGTGAACTGTAGGCAATGGGTCCTTTGGAAGAGTTCACCTGTGATAGGTCCATAAATATGCAGAACTCCACTGTTTGCTTTGTAATACAATAGCAAGTTCTTTTTAGTACTTTCTGTGGAAAAGTTTTGAGGAAAAACAAATAGCCTCGTGATTAATACCTAGTAGATAAGGGCTTGGTAAATATGATTGTGGTTCACAGAATGGTTGAAATTGGAAGGGACCTCTGGAGGTCATCTACTTCAACCCCCCTGCTCAAGCAGAGCTACCTAGAGCCAGTTGCCCAGGACTGTGTCCAGGCAGCTTTTGGATATTTTCAAGAACGGAGACTCCACCACCTCTCTGGGCAATCTGTGCCAATGCCTGATCACCCTCACAGTAAAAAAGTGTTTCCTGATGTTCAGATGGAACTTCCTGTGTTTCAGTTTGTGCCCATTGCCTCTTGTCCTGTCATTTGCACCACTGGAGAGAGCGTGGCTCTGTCCTCTTTGCACCCCCCCTTCAGGTATTTCTATACATTGGTAAGATCCCCCTGAGCCTTCTCTTCTCCAGGCTAAACAGTCACAGCTCTTTCAGTTTCTCTTTATGTGAAAGATACTCCAGTCCTGTCATCATCCTTGTGACGCTTTGTTGGACACTCTGCTTTTTTTTTGTGCTGGGGAGCCCAGAGCTTGATGTGCTACTCCAGGTGTGGCCTCACCAGTGCTGAGCAGAGGGGAAGGATTATCTCCCTTGACCTGGGGGCAATACTGTGTCGGATGCAGCCCAGGATACTGCTGTCCACCTTTGCAGCAAAGGCACACTGCTGGCTCATGTTCAACTTCTTCTCCACTGAGACCCTTCAAGTCCTTTTCTGCAAATCTGGTTTCCAAATGGGTGGCCTACAGCATCTATGGGTGCAGGGAGTTGTTCCTTCCCAAGCGCAGGACTTTGCACTTCCCCTTGTTGAACTTCATGAGGTTCCTGCCAGGCCATTTCTCAAGTCTGCCACGACCCTCTGGATGGCAGCTTGACCCTCTGGCATACCAACCACTCCTCCCAGTTTTGTGTCATCTGGAAACTTGCTGAGGGTACGCTCTGCCCCTCATCCAGATCATTGATGAAGTAATTAAACAGGATCAGACCCAGCATTTACCCCTGGCGTACACCACTAGTTTCCAGCCTCCAGCTATAGACTTCATGCCACTCTGGGCCTGGCTGTTCGGACAGTTTTCAATCCACCTCACTTTCTGCCACATGTCAACAGCTTCTCTATAAGGATCTTACAGGAGACAGTGTCAAAGACCTTACTGGAGTTTAGGTAGACAATGTCCACTGTTCTCCCCTCGTCTATCAAGCCAGTCATTTCACCATAGAAGGTGATCAAATCAGTCAAGCATGACTTTCCCTTGATGAAGTCATGCTGACTACTCCTGGTGACTTTCTTGTCCTTCCTATGCCTGGAGGTGATTTCCAGGATTAGCTGCTTCATCACCTTCCCAGCCTTGAGGTGAGGCTGACCATCCTGTAGTTTCTTGGGTGTTTCTTCCTGCCATTTTTGAAGATAGTAGTGCCATTTTCTTACCTCCAGTTGTGAGGCACATCTCCCAGTTGCCATGACCTGTCTAAGAGTATAGAGAGACGCCTTGCAGTGATATCAGCCAGCTCACTCAGCACTTGTGGGTGCAGCCCATCAGGCCTCATGAACTCCATTATGTCCAGTTTGCTTAAGTATTTCCTGACCTGATCCTCTTCCACTAAAGGTAAGTCGTCCTTGCTCCAGACTTTCCCCTAGTCTCTGGGATTCCTGAAGGCTGATCTTGCTAATAAAGGCATTCGTCATTCACCCTTTTGTCATTTCTACTTATAGAAGCCCTTCTTGTTGTCTTTGACATCCCTTGCCAGATTCAATTCCAGAAGGGCTTTGGCTTTCCTGACCTCATCCCTGCATGCTCGGGCAATGTCTCTGTATTCCTCCTAGGTTACATGTCCTTGCTTTCAACCTGTGTATGTTTTTGAGTTTTGCCAGGAGCTCCCTCTTCATTCATGCAGGCCTCCTGACAGTTTTGCTTGACTTCCTACTCATTGGGTTAACCTGATCTTTGGCAGTCTTTTTTTCATCCTTTTGCAGTCTGCAGGTCAGTTTCCTATCTAGAGAAAGAAGGAAAACTCTCCTTGTGTAGTTTTTTCATACATACTTATATAGTAATATAATATACTATAGTGTAATACATAAATACTAGTATATTTATAAATATAATAATAATATATAGTATTTATAAAAGTATGTAATATTATGTAATATTAATATCAGTATCAGTAGCTATTGATGCCAGGTGGCAACCCTTTCCAAGTCAATATTTTGTTCTTTATGAAAAATGGTGGAATTTGATTTAATTTGAAGACTGTTGCTCTTGAGATAAAACATGAGAATGTCCTAATGAAGATAAGAATTCCTTTCATACTTACTGTGTTGTTTAATAGAAGCATTCTCTTTTGTCAGCCTCCCTAGGATTGTTCTTCTGTTTGCTTGCTGCTCTTTCCTTTCTCTTGCTGTTACGTCCCATCATTTCGATTATGTGGGCAAGTAGGAAAGCATCAGTGGCATAAGATGCCCTAGCACAGTTGTAGTTCTATTGCAACATTATATAATGTTTTAGAAACCTGAAGGCAGTCAGAGAATGCTTCCTGAGCCAAATGTACTGAGCTCTTTACCTTATCATACAGTTTTGCTAGCAAAATGTATATTAATACTAAGAACACTTACTGTCAATTAACAGATTGTTTTGCATGAGGGTTAGCTCTTGTTTTTCTTGTTTAATGTCCTCCTCAGTGCAGAGTCTCTGTATTTATATCCTGTAGAATAAAGGAGCAGATATAAACTGTAGCTGTTCTTCACGCAATATTAATGTCTTAAATGCAACAGGGTAGAGATCAATGTTGTACACTGCAAATACTTGAAGGGTTTAGTTACATGTGGTATGGGAACTATAATTATGTTTCGGTTTTGGGCAGGTACAGGCTCTTCCATACTATTTCCTTCACATTGTTTTTCACATTTAATCTGTCATAATGTCTCCCAGTAGACTGGTCCATTCACACTCGGCTCTGGCTCAGCTCACTTCTAACTCAG